TTTTTTCAAGAAGGGAAGTTAAATGAAATGATGAAAATAACAGAAGAGATTGTCTTATCCAGTGCTTGTTTTATAAAAAGGAGAGGAAATGTTTAGTGGTACTCTCATTTTCCTACTCATATTGAAATTCTGTCCCTTAATGAGGCCAAACTTAGATTCACAAAATGTTTAGGGTTATGCATCTCCCTGCGTCCCCTTGGGGGGGGGAATCACTGGTGTTATCATCTATGTTCTTGATATCCAGCATAGTTGCATGTGAGATGTAAATGAAACAGGGATTGTGTTTATTTAAGAAACCATGGATTACATGCAAAAACTTTGAATGCCTATACATTCCATTTCTCTTCTTCTCCTGCATCCAAAGAAATGCCCCTATCTTCCCAAGAGGCCCTGAACCTCTCCTGAGGAGGAGGTGATGGGGTACAGAGAGAAGAGATGAAAAGGAACACAAAAAATTGAGAAGCTGTCTTATAATGAGTTCATGTTAGACAGCCATAAAATTGCAGAAGACTGGATCTGAGATACTTTGTCTTCACTATATGCCTAAATGCACTAGCAATGAGGCTGAGCCATTTCAAAAAATTCGTGCAAGTAAATGAAGGGAGCCAGGCAGTAAAGATATTTTATGTTTAGGTAAGGATGAAGAGGAAGGTAAGAATCCAGTAGTAACGGCCAAAGATTGCTTGCCCACTGCCACTCTCAAGATTCAGTTTCCAGCTTGTGTCATCACACCTCAAGGAAGCCAAGAAATGACTCCATGTTCATTACCAACCCAACCATTCCCCTACATGTACTGATTATTTTAAGAAATGAATGGAAAGTGAGAATTTCATGGTAACAGTAGTTCCATTAAACCATGGGTCATGTTTTGTGTGATTCATTTTGAGGAGTCTACATTTATGTATGAATTCATTTACGATGTTCATTATATGTGGAAGCAGAACATTTAAAAGTGCTCCAAACCGAAAATCATATGGGCATTCCACTAGAAATTCCAGGCACAAAAAGACACCTCTAACCAATTTTAGAATTCCCAGTATAAACCTGGATTTCTACATTTCTGGAATCTCTTAACTCAATCGACATAAGACTGTGCAGGGAGCCAGGAAGTGACTCACCTTGCCATATGTAGAGACTGCTCCAGATTCAGAGGTCTCTAATACCTAACATACCCCTAGTGGATCAATATCATCCGAGCGATGGAGCCTTATTCTACACCCCACTCTTATTTGCACCAGTGGTCATCAATCTGTGGCCCTCCAGATGTTGCTGAATTGCAGCTCCCACCAGCTTACAACAGACCATTGCTATCATGGATGATGGAAGCTGTAGACCAAAAACATCTGGACGGCATAACAGTGCCTATCAGTGCCTTACACTGGGGTGCCTTGAATGATGGTCAGGGGTAGCACGGACAACACTGGCCTCTGTTCCTCTTTCCTTCCCTCCCTCCTCTCATGCCCTCTTGTGACTCGGTCTCCCAAAGGCTTCCACAGCCTTAGCTACATGCTCTCCAGATGAATGGTGTCTCTGGGTGCTTCCCAGCAGTGGGGAAGTGTTAGGAGGCACCCCTGTTTGGGTTAAGGGGGCAGCTCAGAAACCAGGGTCAGCAGCATCAGCTTCCTGGAGGACTCCCAAGGAGAGGGCAGAGGAGAGGAGGCTGAGGGAAAACACCACAAGGGTGGGTGTTTAAAAAAAAGGTGGGAGGCTGCCAGCTCTGCAGGCAAGGGGTAACATAACTGGGGTCCTGAGCCTCACAGGGGTACCACAGAAAGAATGTAGTTGGAGAAGTGACCCATGGACTCAAAAGCCTCTGTCTGTAAGGCTGCCAGAAAAGCCCTTCCATTTGTGGTTCAACATGTAAGCAGAAAAAGGCAGGGCTTGAGAGTAATCAACTTCATAGCTCAGTAACCAAGGAGACATCACATGGCACATCCATGAGCTAAGCAGGTCAGTTGCAGAAAGTAAATTCCTGCCCCTTTCATCCCCCTATTTATACCTCCATTCTTAATTGTTCCAGCCTTTTCTCAACTCTTTGTTCCTGCGCTGAGAATGGGGAAAGGGGAAGGAAATGAATCACTTCTGTATGGCAGAGCAGAAGACACCCCCTATTCCTTCTCTATCACCTCTGTGGCTCCCTCAAGCCTCTCTCTTTCCTGTTCACTCTCTGCTGATGATTCTTCTCTGTCCCACCTGTCTGAACCTGTTCAAAGTCTCCTTCCCCCTCAGGTGCCTCTTGGGCCACCAGCTGCCACTCCTTCTCCTCGTCCAGCCAGGCCCTGACACTGTCTTAGGTGTTCCCAAGCATGTCACTCTGCTTCAAACAGTATATACATGTCCTTTCAAACGTATTGGGTCTGTATTATACAGGGTCTCTATATCCTGATATGGTTTGGAACATTTCCAGCATTGTTTCCAAGATGTTGCAACTGGAATCAATGTTACATATGTCATAGAGTGCCAGGGCCAATAGCAGTCAGAAATTAGACAAATGGGGAAAGGATGCAGTTGGCTCCCTATAAACACAGTTTGATAGAGGAGTTTTTAGGTGAAATATGGATGCCTGTCTACAGGTGGTGTGTTTTTTGTTTTCTTGGGCTGTTTTTAGTTCTGGATGTCCTGCAATAGACAGAAGATAGGACAAGAAGACCTTGGAGGTTTCTTCCAAACTATTAATTCTGCAATGTGACAAATATGTTTACGTTGGCAGTTCACCTACTGCTGATGCAACACAGAGTCCAAAAATATTGCAAAAGTAATTATCTTCTCTATAATTATTAAAATTATGGTAATCAATTCACCTGGAAAAGCTCCAGAAGGCTGAATGGGAAATAAGAAAAAATAATTAAATCTGAAATGATTTAAAGTACCCTGGTGTTCCATAGAGAGCTAAGGTAAGCTAAGGAGAGGTGAGGCCAGCTTTTGCTTTTCATTGTATTGGTTAGATGTCATATCATAGCATTCGATGACTTTTTTGTGGCAGTATTGAAGTTAATGAGCAGGTGGATACCTGCCCCTTTAAGTACAGAATTGGCAGAGTCAGTGGTCACAAAATACATCCTGTTCAAGTTAGGCTGATGACAATTACAATATTGTAGAGAAGCAAAGGAGATTCCAGGTGTAGAAGGATAGTTGTGATGAGGATGTTGTTGCTGCTGCTTCTCTTGCTGCTTCCCAATATGGTGCCCCAAGTGCATACTGTTGTTTGCAGTGGAAATAATCCTGTGCGTATTCCACATGAGTGGTATGAACAAGGTGACCTTATCATTGGTGACATAGTGACTCATATCTATTACCTATTGCCCAGCATTTCCTTTGATGAACACCCATCTCGGGTCTTTATTAACAGCCCAATGTAAGTAAACGGCTCTTAAGATCATTTCATTTATTCTTTCTACATTTATATCTGACTATAAAGCACTTGGTTTGCTTTGAAACCCAATGGAAGATTAAAGCCAATAATAAGATTTTATAAGACTATTTTATAACCTGCTTCAAGATACATGGTATCTCTCTATCCTCCAATGAAGCATAGTTCACTCGCTAGACCTCAGTAGACACAAGGGTGATGTTTAAGATCTGTGAGCAGTATGCACACATTGGACACAGAGCCATTGGAGTGCTGTCCCCTAACCTGCTAAGCAAGGCACTTGGCTTTGGGAAGGAGTCATGCACTCTGACGAGGTCCTGGAGTCCTTCTGCTTCCTTCCCAAAGCCTAGTTAGCACTTCCCCAGCTTTGGGAACCGGGGGGGGGGGGCTCTTGGATCCCACCCAAGCGAGCCTTGTGTCTCCTTCCTTAAGCCTGGCACAGCTTTGCCCACCTTTAGGAAGGGCCAAGTGGGTGCAAAATTTTGGCCTTGCCCAGGGTGCTATAGTACCAAAGTCTGCCACTGTCGGTCAATCCCATATAGCTAGTTTTTAAAAGCCAAGATAGGCAAGGGTCATGGGGTCCATTGGACAGCTTCATTTCTCAAATCCCATTCACTACATCCTCAGGCCACGATAATCTAAACTGATCCAGCAAAGATGGAACAAAGAGGACACTTTTTGTGAATACCATTTGACTGGCTCTAATCATGGTATGCAACTCTGAATCTGATTGATTCCATCCCTAAAGAGTTTCTAAAGTTATAATAGCAGGTTGCTAACGTTATAAGAAAAATGCTCTCCTGGCCAGATAACAAGTGTATATTCAGCATTGAAAAGCTCTTCCAGGCAGCTAGTTGTGGACACAATTGTGGTGAAGAAGTAGGCTGTCTTTACCACTGCCCCTTCCCTTCCATTACCAGGTACAGAAATGAAACCTCAACCATGTTTGAGCTGATTCTGTTTCAGATCACCACCACTTGCTCTCTAGTCATTGATCCTCCTGCCCACAGTAATATCACATGGCAGCCTTGCATTGAGGAGATCTGGGTTCAAATCTCCATTTACTTGGCCAGCTACACCCTAGGGGCTTTCATGAGTATGCAAGGGGAGAGAGAAAAGCTATGAAAACCAGCTTGAGCTGCTTTGTTGAAGGATGGTATAAAACTGAAGGCATATCTAAATTATTTTCATTTCATACCAGTTACTTTGCTAGGGACAACTGACAAAAGGGGTGTAGTAATGATGTCAATAATGGCGCATGTTGCTAGTGATAAAAAGCTGCATGGTTAGAAAAACAAGTGAAGATCACTTCTCAATATATGTGTTCGGAAAAGGAAAAAAATCTGTTTCGGATGGAAGAGAGATCCAAACATTAGCTCTAAAGGCAGAAAACAATTTCTATATTTCCAACATGATTTAATTGAGGCAGTTGTATCCCTCAGATCTAGGTGTTGTGCACTGTTTAATTGCCCATAAAATAATAAGGCACTTTATTTGCAGAGTGACGACCAAGTCCTACCAACACCTCCTTGCCTTGGTGTTTGCTGTTGATGAGATCAATGAGAATCCCAAGATCTTGCCCAATGTCACTCTTGGATTCCACATCTATGATAGCTATTCTGATTCAAAGATGGCCTACCGAACCACTCTGGATCTGCTCTTTAAATCACATCACTTTGTCCCCAACTACAAATGTGGCATTCAGAAAAATGTAGTAGGAGTCATTGGGGGACTTAGCTCTGAAACCTCCTCATCCATGGCAGATGTCTTAGGTCTTTACAAGATTCCACAGGTAGAATATGGGTATTGAAAAATTGGTATTTCATATTATAATTCACTCTTTTCTAATTCCAATAGGAATCTGTTGATACATCAATATGAAGTGGTAAAATGGAAAAGGGAAATGGGTTGCCATATATGGATATATTTTGGGGGGGTATAATATTAGTACCCAACAATGTACATGAAATGACCCAGGTTCTATAGAATGTGTGTACAGTATATTTAATGGAAAATTGTTTGAATATTCCAGTTTGATAAATTTCACATTACATCATTCCTGAAAGCTGCATGAGAGGTATACCAGTCCCCATTCATAGTGATGAAGCTGGCTTTTAAAAAAAAGGTAAAGGTAAAGGATCCCTGACAGTTAAGTCCAGTCACAGACAACTCTGGGGTTGCGGCGCTCATCTCGCTTTACAGGCCGAGGGAGCCGGCGTTTGTCCACAGACAGTTTTTGCGGGTCATGTGGCCAGCATGACTAAGCCGCTTCTGGCGAAACCAGAGCAGTGCATGGAAACACCGTTTACCTTCCCGCCGGAGCAGTACCTATTTATCTACTTGCACTTTTTGGCGTGCTTTCAAACTGCTGGGTTGGCAGGAGCTGGGACCAAACAACTGGAGCTCACCCCGTTGCGGGGATTCGAACCACCGACCTTCTGATCGGCAAGCCCAAGAGGAGCAGCGGTTTAGACCACAGCGCCACCCACGTCCCCCTGAAGCTGGCTTACAAAGCCATAAATAACCTGAGACAACAATGTCTCTCACCCTAGGAATCATAAGAACCACTCCCTGTGTACGTATGATGATGTTTAGTACTGTCCATTTTCAGAAGCTAATCGAAAACAAATTTCTTGTTATCTTTCTGGCATTTGGGGATGGATGTATTCTTATCAATATGGTGTTGTTCTTCTGCATTACTTGACTTCATATTAGTTGCCTTAATTTTTGCTGATATTTTACTTTTATAGGATATGGTTTACTGTGGTCAAAAAAATTAAAATGTACAATATGCAGGATACGTACAGGATTTCCAGGAGATCCTCCTACAAGAGTTCTTAGTAGAAATGCCATCAACCTCTCTCTACTAGTGTTTTAAAGGTTATAGACAAAAGATCCTGATCAATTGCTTGTATTTCTCCTGGTCCACTTTAGAGTATTGTTGAAGGCAGTGCAAGGATAAAAGCTCTCCTGTTCCTGGAAGAATCCTTGTGTACAAGTATGCAGCTGTGATGACTCCCATAATAATAGGAATTAATATCTACAAAATTAAATGAGAAATATTGTTTGTTTGGTTTTTGAGAAATATATTTTCTATGTAAATGGGGGTTCGCCATGTCTAAGATTAGTAAATATGGGATATACAGGATGTATATTCAGATAAATGAGTGTGTTTTGAATTCTTGTTTTCACATGGAAAGGTTTGGATTTTTCCTTTTTCAGATTTCATATGGTTCATTTGAACCAGCCACAAATGATCAAATCAAACGTGGTTTCTTCTACCGCATGGTCCCCAATGAAGATCTTCAGTTCAAGGGAATTATCCAGTTACTTCTGCATTTTGGATGGAAATGGGTCGGGCTCATCACTCCAAATAATGAAGCTGGAGAACGTTTCTTGCAGATCATTGAACCAATGCTTTTCCAGAATGGAATCTGTTCAGAATTCACTGAAAAAGTGAATGCCATCTGCATTTCACTGGTAACATCCTGGATATGCTGGATGACACAGGGATTTTGACCCCAGCTTTCATGTCAAGCAAAGCAAATGTGGTTGTTATATATGGAGAATCTATTTTGTGGGTAACTATTGCTATAGAGGCAAGGAATATGATTCAGCTGCTATTGCCTCCATCTAAGAGGAAGCAACGTGTAGGAAAAGTATGGATTACAACAGCCCAAACTGATTTCTCATTAGCTTTTTTTAAAAAACCTTTTGAAATAAATATACAAATATGCCATGGTGCGTTCTCCTTTGCCATTCACTCCAAGGACATTCAAGACTTCTCAGACTTTCTGAGGAATGTAAAGCCTTCCTGGGCAGATGCGGATGGTTTTACCAACGATTTCTGGGAACAAGCATTCATGTTGTTCACTTTCAAATTCCACTGGGTCAGCAGGCATATGTACTGGAGAGGAGATGCTGGAGAGCCTTCCTGCACCATATTTTGAAATGAGCATGACCGGTCACAGCTACAGTATCTATAATGCTGTCTATGCTCTGGCACAGGCCTTACATATTAGGTACTCCTCTGAAGCCATCAGCAAAAGGATAAAGGGTGGAGACAGACTCTCTTCTCAGAATGTAGAGCCTTGGCAGGTAACTTATAAAGTGTTCACCTTGCAAAGTATTCAGTGTTGTGCGCTGTACTGATATATAATGTGAGTTGGCATTCATCTATAAGTAAATAATTAATAGTAATAAATACATGAAAGATTAACCTTAAATTATTTTATTTCCTACACTAAACAGACTTTAGATTACACAGACTTTCATAAGTGACAGAATAGCAGCAACTACTTGAAAGGTTAATAATTGTTCTAAAAATACGCTGCATATTTAAACTGGCACTGTTCCAGTATTTCAACTGGCATTTAATTAGATCTGTGGTTCCTAATTAGCCAATTAGTGAGGATCCACTATTTTTCAAAAGCTAAACCATGGAACCCCTGCTTTTGAAAATTTTGATAACTGTAAGGTAGCAAAGCAATTTTAAGAAGAAAATGTGGGGTAGCCCCAAATAAGTAGAGGATTTTTAGTCTACTAAAAAACAGACCATAAAATTTGTGATTTTACCATGCAAAAATGACAAAGATTTAGTTGGAACAGAGACCAATTCAATTTTATTAAAGTATAGTACAAATGAACAATTTTGACATTTCTAGCAGCTTTGAAACCTATATCCATATATCTAGCTCTATCTATCTACCATCTATTATCTATCATCTATCAATCTATATCATCTATCTATCATCTATCTAAGTAGGAAACAGGCAGAGGGCCTTCTTGGTAGTGACGCCTTCCCTGGGTAACACCTGCCCTTCAGAGGTCAAGGAGATAAAGAACTACAAAACTTTTTCTCCCTCCCGCTCTCCAATTTAAAGAGCACTAAGAAAATGTGTCCGAGGTTTTTCCCCCAATCCCACCTCTCTTGCCATCCAGCGACTCTTTCACAAGTTTTTCCCCTGCCAGAAAGCAGGAATTGGCCGCAAGCAAAGACTGTATGATCCGTGGAAGGTTTTCCCTGTGCAATTAACAAGAGAAGTGAGTACCACAACAGGGTATGGTACTGCAGACCCCCTGGGTGTGTTCTGTGGAAACTCTGGGGTCCCCAGACCTCTAATAGTGAACCACTGAATTAGACAACTTGTTGTATGAGGTTAATGGCATCAATGTGCCAAGTGGAATGTATCTGAAGCTGTAAAAAATGACACTTGGGGCCACCTGCACCATGTTCCTCCCCACATTGTGGGTGTCCCATGCACATGTGTGATGTCACATGCTCCATGTGTTGTCACACACTGGGAGGAGCCCCAGCTGCCCCCTCCGGGCTTTTCAGAGACCTTTTTAGGGTATCTCCTAATGGCCTTCAGAGTCTATAAGGGGCTTCATCGCCCGTTCCCACTGCTCCATAGGAGCGAACTGCTGTAGCAGGCGGGCCCACCAGAGCCCTTCTGGATCCAGAATATTGAGGGGGGTCTGACCCCCTCATTGAACAATTTGTGGGTGCATGGGCATATGCCTATCCACATATAAGACGAGCGTCTTATACATGGAAAAATACGCTACCTTCTGTTTAAATACTTTTTTTTTTATAAATATTTTATTAAGTTTTCGAATGCAAAATAAACAATATACATACAAAATCCCTTCACCAAAATGAATACATGAAAGGAGAAAAGAAAAAAAATTCAAGAAGAAATAGAGCAGAAAAATCATGAAAAAAGAAACTCCACCATTCAATACAATTTTATATGACTAACTGGACTTCCTCACATTTCCTTTACTCTGCATTATTTATAATAAAAATATCAGCAAATTATTACCTTGTTTCAAACCTTGTTTTGTACTTTCCACATATTTTACTCCTTTGTTTAAAGTAATTTTTATCAATTACTCATACCTTGGGTTTAAACATACTGTTGCCTTAAGTTTCAACCTTTTCTTACTTGTAACTTAAATCTCTATTTTACAGAATCTATTTGCTGGAGCTAACATTTTCTAGGTCACGCAAATTCTTAGCATTCATACAACTTATATTGTTTTAGTAAATAGTCCTTAAACTTCTTCCAGTCCTCTTCCATTGTTTCTTCTCACAAGTCTCGGATTCTGCCAGTCATTTCAGCCAGTTCCATATAGTCCATCAATTGCGTCTGCCACTCTTCCAGTGTGGGCAAGTCTTGTGTTTTCCAATGCTTTGCGATAAGTATTCTTGCTGCTGTTGTCGCATACATAAAGAAATTTCTATCTTTCTTTAACACTTTCTGGCCGACAATGCCCAAAAGGAATGCCTCCGGTTTCTTAACAAAGGTATATTTAAATACCTTTTTTAACTCATTATAGATCATTTCCCAGAAGGCCTTCACTTTTGGGCATGTCCACCAGAGGTGAAAAAATGTCCCTTCAGCCTCCTTGCATTTCCAACATTTATTATCAGACAGGTGTTATTTTTTTGCGAGCTTGACTGGGGTCATGTACCACCTATATATCATTTTCATAATATTCTCCTTCAAGGCACTACAGGCCGTGAATTTTATTCCGGTGGTCCATAACCTTTCCCAGTCCTCAAACATAATGTTATACCCAATATCCTGAGCCCATTTTATCATGGCTGATTTAACAGTCTCGTCCTGAGTGTTCCATTTAAGCAGCAAGTTATACATTCTCGAAAGTACCTTAGTCTTTGGTTCCATCAATTCTGTCTCTAATTTCGACTTTTCCACCTGGAATCCTATTTTTTTATCCAATTTAAGTAAAGGTAAAGGTAAAGGTACCCCTGCCCGTACGGGCTAGTCTTGCCAGACTCTAGGGTTGTGCGCCCATCTCACTCTATAGGCCGTGGGCCAGCGCTGTCCGGAGACACTTCCGGGTCACGTGGCCAGCGTGACATCGCTGCTCTGGCGAGCCAGAGCCGCACACGGAAACGCTGTTTACCTTCCCGCTTGTAAGCGGTCCCTATTTATCTACTTGCACCCGGGGGTGCTTTCGAACTGCTAGGTTGGCAGGCGCTGGGACCGAACGACGGGAGCGCACCCCGCCGCGGGGATTCGAACCGCCGACCTTTCGATCGGCAAGCCCTAGGCGCTGAGGCTTTTACCCACAGCGCCACCCGCGTCCCCCTATCCAATTTAAACACCTCTTGAATTTGAGCGTAATGTAACCAATCTTGCACCTTATTCTTTAATTTCTCCAAACTCTGCAACCTCCAATTATCTCCAATTTTTTCTATTATTTCCCAATATTTCGGCCATCCGGCCTCCATATTGAGTCTTTTCCGGGCCTTAGCCTCCAATGGTGATAGCCATCTCGGCGTCTTACTTTCTAATAAGTCTTTATATTTTATCCAGACCATGAATATTGCTTTTCTGACAATATGGTTTTTAAACATTTTATGAGACTTTACCTTGTCATACCACAAATATGCATGCCAACCAAAAGCGTTATTGAACCCTTCCAGATCTAGGACATCAGTGTTCTCAAGGAGTAACCAATCTTTCATCCAGCAGAAAGCCGCAGCTTCATAATATAATTTTAAATCTGGCAGGGCAAACCCCCCTCTTTCTTTTGCATCAGTTAATATTTTAAATTTTATTCGGGGCTTTTTGCCCTGCCAGATAAATTTGGAAATATCTTTCTGCCATTTTCCAAAACATTCCACTCTGTCCACAATCTGTAGGGTTTGAAACAAAAACAGCATCTTTGGCAGTACATTCATCTTTATAGCTGCAATTCGTCCTAGCAAGGAAAGTTTCAATCTTGACCAAGTATCTAAATCCTTTTTAATTTCTAACCAACATTTCTCATAGTTATCTTTAAATAAATTCAAGTTTTTAGCAGTCAAGTTGATCCCTAGGTATTTCACCTTTTTAACCA